AGAATTAAGGTTCTCTTGGGATTCTGGTCCCTAGAAGACCACCTATATGTTTCATATCACATTCTAAATTAAGATAGTATTGTTACTGTGCCTTCTCAATGTGTGGTAAGAGTAATTCTATTATGAGTAAAATTCCAAGAGACAAAGTTTCCAGGTATCAATAATCAAATCATTAACTAGGCTAGCCAATAATCAATAAACTGATGGTCAGTGGCTTCTCTTGGTAACTAAAGATGCCAAAGGAAAATACTGCACCAGTACAAATACAGGTCTGTTTTCCTGACAGCAAATTACTGGGAACTCCTCTAACAAGAAAAAAGCAACCCCTGATTGATGGACATTTTAGAAGGAGGTGAGGTAAGAGTGGTCAGCCCCTCCCTATTACTTCTTCATTAAGGTGGGGGGAGGTCAGCCAAGGAATGAGGCTTGGTCATGAGGTGTGAGCCCTGTCTAGCAATCTGGGCAGCCCATAAGGTTCTCTCTGATTTTATTTCTCTTTTATGACCAGGCTGCCCCAAACTCTAATGAAGGGAGCAAGGACAGAAGCTCATCCCTGCTGGGTGAGCAGGATTTGGGGAGCTCTGGGTTTGAATTCTGGCTCAAACATTATGTGATCCTGGAAAAATAATTTAACCTCTCTAAGCCTCAGTTTCACCATCTATCTCACTGAGTTATTTCAAAGAATGTACTTTACAAACTTTAAGGTGCTATAAAAATAGGAATTCTTAATAAAGATAAATAAATCTTTCCTGAAGACCCTTTCTGTTCTCAGAGAATTTATAATCTAGTTGGGGGAGTTGATGTAGTTGGACTGAATAGCCTCTAAAGTCTCTCAACTCTGATTCTGTAAGATATATATGACTAGTTATAACACAAATTAACACTTAATAAATACATAATATAGAAAGGAAGGAAATAAGCCTATATTAAGTTGGCCTACTATGTACCAGGCACTGAGCTAAGAACTTTCCAATTATCCCATTTGAAATTCTTACAGCAACTCTGAGATGTAGGTGCTATTGTTTCTCCCATTTTACAGTTGAGAAAACTGAGACAGACGGAGGTTAAATGGCTTGCCAATGGTCACCCAGATAGTAAGTGTCTGAGGCTGGATTTGAACTCATCTTCCGACTACAAGCTCTGTGGGTGCCACTTACCTGTCAGTAATATAGATGGATACCAAGTGCTATTAAATGTCCAAGAGAGAAGGCAGTTATTGACTTAAGTTGAAAGTTCCTTGATTCCTTAGGAGAAATCTGCAGTTCTCTACATCTCTCAGATTTTACTGCAGAGGTAATTGTTGAGGTCTTTGGTGTGATTTATGGTGAAGGCACCATACCCTCTTCCCATAGCTGCAGAGATCTTTGAGGGGAGGAAGTCATAACTAGAATGATCCTCATTCTTCCTCCTCTTCCCCCTTTCCCTAAATAAATAAACGAGCAAACAAAGTATCAAAACCCCAAGGACATTCGTTTGTAGCCAGAAGACTCCAATCAAAGAATAATAAGGGCATGAGGCCAGAGGATCATTTCATCTAATAATCATAATAATAGCTAACATTTATATTATGCTTATATTTTACAGATGACAAGATTTAACCACAGATTGCAACATAGGCTGAAAGTGAAGAGTTGAGAATGTCATTGAGCCTGAGAAACAGCAAAATTTCAAAAAGAAAGTAAGCCTGGATGGAAATGTGAATTCTGTTTTAGACACAATAAGTTAGAGATATCAATGGGGCATCTAATTTAAAATATCTAATAGGCAATTGGACTTGTGCGAGAAAACATTTGAAGAGTAGGGCAAGATATATAAATCCTGGCATCATCTTCACAGAGATAATTGAACCTATCAGAACCAATGAAGTTGCCAAGAGAGAAAAAGAGAAAGCCCAGGACAGGACCTTGAGGGAGAGGAAGTGGGGGTAATATGAATCACCAGTGATACAGCAAAGGAGTCTGAGGAGTAATAAGACAGGGAGAAAATGGACTCAAAGTATAAAGCTGTGAAAAGTATTCAGGAAGAGAAGGTGGTTAATAGTGGGAAAAGGTGCAGAAAGGTTAAAATTGAGTATTGTGGTCAGGATTGAGAAAAAACCATTCAATTTGGCAATTATGAGATCATTTGTAACTTTAGAGACAGTAATTTGGCTGAATTATGATCTGGAGATAGATTTCAGGAAGGTTAGAAGACAGTGAGAAGAGAAGAAATAGAAGTATGGAGTAGAGATAGCTTTTTTGAGTTTGGCTGAGGAGAAGAGAGATGGAGGACAAGAATTAGCAGGGATAGTAGGCCCTGGTGAGGGATTTTTATGGAGGAGAAAAACATTGACATACTTGTAGGCAGCAGAAAATGAACTAGATTAACAGATAGATCAAGTTAGTCAATAAGCATTTTTAAGCACCTACCGTGTGCCTGGTACTAAGTACTTTACGATTCATTTGAGATTGAAAGAAGGGAAGAGAGTGTCACCAGAGTAAGATGAGGGCCTTGGAAGGTACTGAGGAGTGGATGGATTGGAGGTCACAGAAGAGTTAGAAAAGGTTTGGGAGAAGTAAGGCACAGGAAGAAATGGAAAGATAGACTATGATGAAATGAAGGCATTTCAGAGTCTTTGAACATAGAAGAACACATGTGGGTGATGGGAAGATTAATGGTGAAAGTCAACTCTGTGTATGGCTGAGGTGGAGTAGAACAGTAACGTGAAATTAAAATGGAAACTGGAGCCATATATAAGGATTCCTGTAGACTCTTGGCCCTTTCTTAGTGCATTGAATAGAAGCTTATACATTTATCTATTTCTTTTTTCAACAATAGGTGTACCTAGACTGTTTAGGATATTCCCTTATATCTGGTCCTAGCTATTTACTTCCTCTGAGTAGAAAGGGAAGAACAAAGGTAATTTGGACTGAAGGGTACACCAGCTTGCCCTTGATTTCATTATAATACACTACGCCTCCTATCAGCCCTGCAAATTACTGAGATGGCCCAGTCAAGCTGTTACCAGAACCAGACAATAGACATCTGCAAAAGGGCAAGCGATGGACCATGTGACTGGACTAAATTGGAGTTTATCTGTAGTTAAGAGGGTGGGACTCTCTTCATCCAAAACTGGACTGTCTTTTCCAGTAAAACTGTTGCTGTAGTCAGCACTCACAATACAAAGCCGATGAGCAGCTGGTTTGACTTATCTTACAATATACAAATTGTAATGTTCTCTTTTAGGGATATGTTGGAGACAACACCAACCCAGAAAGGAGGTTGTTGAATTTTCAGTGAGCAATTACACCTCAGAAATTGGCAGATGCTATAAATCAAAGCTTGACTTATTGTTTTGCTGATTGTCTAGATTTAATAAAGTGATGGAGAAAATAATACATGTGAAATCTCAAAGTGTGTTGCAGGTGGATGTGGATAGATAGATAGACAGATACATATAGAACAACTAGCTCTCTAAAATATACATATATTTTAGAGAGCTAGTTGTTAAACATTCATCAGCACAGCTCTGTTTCCTTCTCACCCACAGGGAAAACTGGGTGGAGTAGCCAAAAGGCTACAGAATAGCCAGCTAAGGGACAGTGTTTTTGTTGTTTTCTCTTATATGTAACCAGATTAGATAAGACATAGTAAGAAGAATATAGGGCAACCTCAGGCAGCCACTTCCTCTTTTTCTTAGATCCCTGGCTATCTTTTAATTGGGGATGTTTAGGAAAGCAAATATTTTCTGGTTGTTATAGTCAGGTTTATAATCCTCTTTGGCTCTGGGTTCAGTGACACCCATCTGCACACTTCCCCTCTCCCTCTGACACCTTCATGAGTCAGAATTTCTAGACTTGACATGTGGCATTGGGATTTTAGTGAGAGACAATGTGGTATAATCATTTAGTGAGAATGCATGTCCATCAATATCTTGAGAGTGAATGCCAACAGTTATATTTGCCATCCATAAGTTATTTTTTATAGAAGGTGTTAGCTTGGTTTTTTTTTTCCTTCTCTTTTCCCACTTCTGGGTAGACTGGTATGACTGGAGGAGAAAAAAATGTTCCTTTCTGAAGGAATGTATGGCACTGGGTGGGGCTGCTAACAGACAGAGACTAAAGAAGAAAAAAGAAAGAGCTGGAGAGACAGGGCAGTTGGCAAAGAACAATGGAAGTTTTTACCTTCAGCTTGCATTGGAGAGTTGGCATTGAAGAATAAGAGAACTCTAGGGATGTAGCCTCATTTTGCCTGAGTAACTGATGTATCAGGTTGCTATGGTGCAAGAACAGAGGAGTACCATGTGGAATAAGAGTTGGAGGGAAAAAAAGAAAGCAATTCTGCCTCCCATTTCAATCAGCAAGGCACAATGGGCCAAGACAAGGTTGGTGTAAAAAAAGTGCTTTATATTGGCAGGAACAGAAGCTTCAGTGGATTCTGGTAATAATACCTTAACATTGCAAATTGATGTTGGTTGGGGCAATATTTAACAGGACGTATCTATATCTGAAGTGTCACAGGATCATGTGAGAGATGTGGATGGATATACACTGTGAGAATGAAAGTTTGTTACTGTAGCTTTAAGCAGAAGTATCTTTGCTGTGGATAACTGATTTTATACACCCAGCAATTCCATCTATTTACTAGAAAGGTAATGATTCACAGTTATATTTATTTATAGTCATGTCAGAACACTTATTTTGAGTCACTGCTTCTTATAAATCTCCTTAACATTCCTCTTTCCAAGCAAGCTCAAGGTTTCACGTAAGTAGGATAGCTCAAATTGGATTTTTTAAACCTGTTCTGTAAAAATATATTAGGTGTATAACTTACCCCAGCCAGCTCACTGCTCCTTATCCCCCAGCCCCTTCTTTTGTATCTCCCACTCCAACACTATAGGGCATCATTTCCAAGAATGTAATTTTCACATTTAACTTTTGTCAATAGAACTGATTTACTCTCAATGAGATTTGGGGCACATATCTCTACCATGTGGCGCTCAAACACTGAGGAAAATATAGTGAGGGATGTAAGAATGATTTTATTATATTGCACCTTATATAATAAAGTACTTTACAGTCAGTTCAACAATTATTCCACACATTGTCCTTATAAAGCAGCTCTCACACCTATTGCCTTCCTTGGATGCGGCTGACGGGATTAAGAGATTTATGAGAGACTTGATAGCAGTCCCACTGATGATGAATTGGTGGGGCAGGGATGCAAACCAAAAGTTCCCTGACTCTCCCTTATTTTATGTTTATTTTCCCGGGTTATTTGATCTTTCTTGGGGTAGGGGAATCATTCTCCAATAACTCATCACCTTCAACATATATGCTTAATGGCCGCATCAGGGTTAGGACCCTGGTCTGCAATTCTATACGTATCAATAAAGCAAAACTAAGCTAGACACCCCTCTTTTACTTGTTCCAATATTATCCTGAAGGGGACACCACAACAGGGGGGTTTTTTTTGGTCCTGACTTGGTAATTGCCTCAGTTTTTCTGTTTTTGTTTAGTCACAGAAACATGGTAGATGAATATTTTAAACAGCCTGAGTAATTTGCTCAGCTTCCTAAATACTGGAGGGAAGAGCTGCATAAATCTATTGCACAGCAGAATTAATTAATGCATACCACTCTAAAAGTCCACTATGGGCTGTTATTTTCCTTACCAATAGGGTTTATCTTGGTTTAGAATGACCAAGAGGACCAAGGATTTACGCAGTGCACTCAGAGGCAACTGCAGTGACCTTTAAAGTCGACCATGGTCACTGCTGAATTTGTAATAATAATAGGCATGGTTCCAGTTTTAAGGTCACAGTGTTCTAAATTGTGATGCATCACATAATGTACCTGGTTAGTAACAATAGCAAAGGGGGATGTTAGATTTTTATTATGCGGGTAGGCACATCCATGAGCAGTATCCCAAGCAAATTTAAGTACTTAAACCAAACATGTTTTGACATCATCTATTTAAGGACAGGTGAGTAATGAAACAATGTAAAAATTATGGGCAAAAATGTGCTGCTGATGTCTTGAAAAATGGAAACTACATGATTAAGGTCTAAATGCCTGAGGGATTTACTATGTTTTTAATGCTTAACAAATTTAAAAAGATTACACTGATATCATGGTGAAAACACTCCCTATGTCATATGTTTTTACAGAATCAGTGAGATAGAAGTGACCTCAAGAGATCCTCTAATTCATTCAACTGTATATAATTCATTCCAGTTTACTTATTAAAAAGTTATTAAGCATAGCATCATCTTCAAGAACAAAGGACAGCATGTTAAGACTGCAACAACTTACTTATCTGGTATCATTTGGGAACCAACTATTCCATACAATTGGATTCACCAGATAATTTGTCTCTTTTTAAGCAGCCAAACTCCCCTTCAATCTTAAGAATTTTGCATTAAAAACCATTTTTAAAATGTACTATATATTTGCTTTATTACACCAAATTTAAACCTTCATTGATGATTAAGGGCCATCACTATGAACATTAATGCTGTATTATACTCTAAAATAGTGATGAATGCCTTCAACAATTGAAGAGTAAAGAACTATTCAGCCACACACTAAATGACCCTAAGACCTACCCTGTGGATTTCTATGTTCTTGTGCTTATTATTTTTTAAAATAGTTTTTCTGCGTCTTCTCTTGCTCTCAGTAGCCACTTCTTGCCTCTTGTACTCTCTCTTCTTTCTTTTAATCTGCTCTAGGTAGGGGAATCAGATAACCAAAATTGTTAGAAGCATGCCTAGGTTAAGAGTGAACAGGCTATAGCTGGAGTGACCAAGGGACCTTCATATAAGTAAAGAACATAGGAGTTCATGCGTGTACTTTGTGACATTTATTTTGGTCGTTCAGAGTTTTGTTTTGTTTGCTTCCTTCTGGGTTCTTGGCTGAGTTTCCGAGAACTGAGGTTGCCAGATAAGAAGAAAAATACTATTGTACAAAGCCATTGAAGTAATGGTTAAAGAAATAAGTAATGAACACCAAAATAATATTTGCTCTCAAGTATACAATTTCATGCTTTCCTCCTCACATGACAGAGGTGTACGTGTGTCCAGTTTTGATAAAATAAAAGTCCTTGGGAAATATGAACAAATCTCTGCAAGAGAAAACAAAATATATTACATACTGGTTCAGTTTCACTAAATATACAGTAGGCATCTAAGGTCAATGGCAAAGCTTTTATTATCTCAGTTTTTAAAATATAACAAAAAAATTTTTTTTTACTAAATTCACAGAGGGATGATATATTGAACAGATATACACATTTTCTAATGTGAAGTCCAAAGTGATTATTTCACTTATTTCACCTAAAGGTGGACATCAACATTGACCAAATCTTTTCTTAGCATGAATGCTCTACAGAAAAGAGTGAATCACAACACAAATGGAATATACCACACAATCAGGAAATAATATTCATAGAATTCTGAATTATGAGCAATGAACTACTACTGGCTCCTTAATTACTATTAATAAGTGTTTTGAGTAATCTGGATGGCCATAAGGGGTAAAAAATGGTGATTTACATTTGCTGGTTTTCCCTTCGCCTTAGGGTCTGAAGGTTTAAAATATACTTGGTGTGATCATATTCATTTTCATAAAAGGCACATGAGGGTGGTACGTGGAAAGATGACAATGTCTGTTTTAGAGTGAAGAATATAATACTCTTACCTTAGCTGTCCATCCAAAACAACCCTCCACTGAGTCACATCACCCTCAAGACAACTATTCAGTCCTTCCTCTGATTATCCTCTCCTCAGAGAATTTGTGTGAAAACATTCTAGGACATACCTCTTATTCAGTGATCTCTATATCTACACTCAAAAGGACATTTTCTTTCATTCCCAGAACATTTCCCATAAGACTCTGTCCTTTCTCCTCATCAGAGGTCCATCAGTTATACTATACCAGTCAATTCCCCAAACCATTTTTTTCTCCATTGTTCTCCCTTCTTTTCCCAAAGACAGCAATCCCTGCTATTCTCTCTTAGTGAAAATGCCCTGTGATGCAAAAAAAAAAACTTTGAGCAAAATATTCAGCTTTTTGTTCTGATCACACTATCTAGAATGCCCTTCTTCAGCATCTATACCATGCCACAGACCATAAAATATTTTATTTTCCCAATTTAGAGGGCATCAAATGGCAATTAGTGGGCACAATTCCAAGGTTTCATCCTTTAGGACCCTATGAAAGCCTATAATCCAGTTCCATTCCTGGCTGCATTTTCCTGCATCACATCCTATTCCTCCACTTATATAAAGTCAATTAGAATTTCATTGATGACTGATGCAGTGAATGACTGCAGAAGAATCCGTTCCTTTAAATTCCCATCTGAAAAAAAATAGTACTTTCTTGCCTTTTTCCTTTACTTTCCACATATGTAAAGAAATCACACCACAATTGAGAGAATTAATGTGTTGAGAATATATGGAACATGAAGTACTCTATTAATGCCATTTTGATACTTAGTAACCTTTACAAGCTCTTTTCCTCCTTCTACTCCTCCTCTTCTTTCATCATATTTATAAATGCCTTCCTCTCTTGTACTAAAGCCAGACAGCTGTGGCTAACAAAAGCCATTTGCTGTATCTAACACAATGTCAGTATACCACCCAAGTGTCACTTATCATTACTTTGATTTATACTCTCCATCAGTACCAGCCTTCACTTTGTGCCAATCAATGACGGACTGTCAACTATTCCATCCTCTTCATATCTAAAATGTGTTTCTCCACTGTCTCAATTTGTCACTTAGCCAATAACTTCCCCTGCATGGGATTGTTTCTCCTCTGCAGAGGCAAGGTGAATATATAATGGAACACCGGGAAATATAGCAAATCTATGGGGCAGTGGAATTAGGTTTCAAGGAGATCTGACAAAAGTCTTTGGGTTTAAATCTTGAACAAAAAAAAAATTTGCTGATGAAACTAGTTCACCAGGATAGGAATTGGCCACTGGGATTTTACCACAGACTCAACAGAACACTTGGAATGGATTCTATTTCTATTTGACACAAACATGGTTTTCTTCGGTAACAAAAGTGCAGTGGAAAACAGAAGACTCCATTTTCAGAGACTGCCATGAAAGTGATCAGACAAGAAGCAGATTGGCTTATTGTTGCACATAATGTAACTATGCGTGTGTGTATTTTAAATATAGATTAGCCCTTTTATAAATAGGCCAAATTGTAACAAATTGGCTTGAAGTGAATCACCTAAAGTGCTAATTTTTTCTAACAGTCAAGTCCATGATCATTCCAATATCAGCATCCCTAAATAACAAAACATACAAAAAAAGATAAGAAATGTTTACCCTGTCACTGAGCATGTTAGCCCTCATGGTACTGTTTATTTTTCCTACTTGAAATTTTAGTATTTTCCTCTATGCATTATTGAAAACTGTTAGTTTTATGGTTTCTACACAGGAGTGAAGAGAGCCATAGAGATACTCAAAAGTTTTCCCTGACATAAAAGACATTAAGTGTAGCCACAGGCCATACACTTTTGTTTATTACATTTTATGAATTTTAGACACTTAACTGAATTAGTTTAACCAGACCTTTGTCTTATATTTTCTTGGTTGAAAGTTCTGTGCTTTTGAAAAAAGTAAATGGCTGCAAATCACAAAAAACCTTACAAAACTATCTTTAGCAATCTTGACTTCTATACAAATGACATTCTTCATTCTTTGTTCACAAAAAAGAAACTTTTACAAATGTTTCAAACATTTCACAAAATACGACTGCAAGAGAAAAATGTTTCTTGCAGTTCCGCTTTCTGTCTAGTCAGTCCTAAACAAGATTCTATGTCATTCACTTATCAAATGCAGCAGTTCTGAGCTACTTCTTATATAAAGAGAGAAAACAAAATCTATCTACAATTCTGGTCTAAGAAGTTCACTGATTTCTAGGGACCTACCACATATATACATATATATTTACATATACACAGGATATAAACATATTTATACTTTCTATGTACACATGTATTAGTTAAACATTCATTATAAATAGTCGGTCTTAACTTAGGTTCTACAAAAATAATCACTTTGGAGGGGCACATGCAAACAGTACACAGGAGCATAATTATAAAACACATTGCTAAGCCTCTTTCTTAAATATAAAGTTTTGCTAATTAGCTGCTAAATGATTCAAAGACAAACCAAAAATTTCTCATTTCAAAGTACAAAACCTGCCTCTCTCCAAGCGTTGTTAACCTCTCTATGGGGTCATTTCTCACCTATCTGCAAAGCCCAGTCACAGAACGTCTTACAGGTAGAGGCTCCCTCCCCTCAGATACTACATTTCCCAACTGAGCCCAGCCTTGCTTGTTTGTATTTTTGTTTTTAAGACCTCATATAATGGCTATCTGTTTAAGCATCATCATCATCTTGGCTTTTACATTTCCATAAAAATGAACAAAGGCTTTTCTCTATTTCTGACTTGCAGGGACATTCGTGTGCTAGGACAATGGGAGTGAGGGACCCTACTTTTAATTGTTGGTTGAGCTGCCAGGGTAAGTGGACGCCTGAGCCGTGACAAAAGGCTCGTTCTGTTTCTGATCCTCTTTCAGGCCTGCAGCTTGGTCTGTGATGGAAGAGAAGGAGAGCTGGTCATGTTCCATGATGTGGACCTGATCCTCGTCCTTATCCTTCTTCACGTAGAACATTTTTCTGAACTTTTTGAGCTCGTGGAGTTCACAGAAGGTTTCCAGAACCACCAGCATGGCAATGAGACCCAACAACAGGTAACCTGGAAGAGAAACAGTATCTCTAAGGCTATCCACTGCAGTTTTAAAACATACCCCTGCCTCCTTCTTCAAAAACCCCAAGCCGCATTGAAGGCCCAAACCCAGGGCTTGAGGAGGTAAACATATGGCAGTATTTTCATTAGTATAAAAGAAGCTTCATTACAAAGTTTTGACAAAACTGAATTCTTTAAAATCATAGTGACTAAAGGAGAGATCAGCGAATATGCTTTCCTGCCCTCTTGTCTGGAACACTGCATACGTGATCAGGACAAGTTGGCTAGTTTTGGTGAAATGTTTTCTTTTTTATTTTCTGTTACAAGGCATGATTCTCTGGGTAGGAGGGAGGAAGGATATTTTCAAAAATGAAGTGAATATTTAAAAAAGAGATCAATAAAAATTAAATTTTTCTTTAAAATTTCAAGATCTAAAGCCCAAAGAAGCACTACTTTGAAAAGATAAAAAATGTGTGCTCAGCCACAGCTTGATTTTTACTAGTACCAGCTTATCTGATCGCTATTTCCAAAGAAGCATATTTACCAATATTTATTGGATTATATGTATCTAATAGAATATAAGCTCTTTGAGGGGAAGGACTATTTTTCCTTTTCCTTTGTAACCCCAGCACTTAGCTGGGTATGCCTGGTATATATAACTACTCAATAAATGTGTTATTTATATAAGAATTATCCACATGAGACCAAGATAGGACTCTCCATTCCTGATTTATAAAGAGAAACATTTCAAAAGAAATTTAAAGAAGCACATTAGAGCTCCGTAATCCTTCATGTAGCTGTTCCAAGAGAATTGAATGCTGTTGTAGGATGTTAACTCCTTGATCCATATTTTCCCTATGGAACAGAGGTTTCATAATAAAAATTACAGTTTAAGCCAACAGAAAATTTCTTCAAGAGTTATGCTAGAAATGAAGTGGGCCTCTCTGTAGCTATTTATATTTCCACATAATCTACCAGCAGGCCTAAATCTTTTCATGATTTCATGGTAATTCTTTTGGCACATCACTGTTCAATTTGGCAAAAGAATGATTAACCCTGCTCATTACATTTAGACTATAGGACAAAGAAAACCTCTAAATGAATGCTCCAAAACGGGGGCGGAGGGAGTTTGGAGGAATGAGGGGAGGACGTAATCTTCAAAGGCTAAAATAAAAATTCATTTTTAATAAAGGCGAATTCATTACTAAAGTTAGAAGAATCAGAAGAATTAAAAATCCCACCCACCCCTCTTTCCCCTATGACTATTCCCTTTTAAAATTCTAAGACTTGAAAACTAGTTTCAGACAGCCCTGAGGTAGATGAGCTAGTCTCTGTGGTATCTTTGGAATAAATAGGCATTTGACACTAAAAGAAGGGGAATGTTGCATTTGCCTTTATTAAGTAGTCTTTTCCCTAAAATCTTCAACAGACACAAGAGAATTTCATGACTTCCTCTTCTGGTAACCTGGTTTGGCAGTCTCACCCCAAATCTTAGCTTCCAATTCTGTTCATGAAGCTCAGAAGCTATTTGGGGGCTCTTTTCAGAAACAGCAGTAATGTTCACATACAACCCTGGAGCAAATAGCATCTGTTAGACTGTGTCCACGGAAAATGCTACTTAGACACATCTACCACAGCTACAGTGTAGCTGAGTGACAATAGTGTCTCTCTCTCTCTCTCTCTCTCTCTCTCTCTCCCCTTTATTTTTCCCTTTCTACTTCACCCTCCACATGCAAACAAGCTCTGATTCTGAGGATGATAAAATATGTTCTTGTCTCTAACCTGTTCTCAAATCTCCCAGCACACACTTATTTCATGGGAATGACCTTAAAGCACAATATTTCTATTGAGTGTTGAAATGTAACCGCAGATCTAAACATTTAATTATAATATCTAGCTAACATTTACAGAGCACCTACTAATGCCAGAGACCATACTAAGTGCTTTACAAATATCTCATTTGATTCTTACAACACCCCTGCAAGGTAAGTGCTATTATTATCACAATTTTATAGTTGAGGAAAAAGCTTAAGTGACTTGCCCAGGGTCACACAGATGAGGTCAGGTTTGACCTCAGGGTTTCCTGACTCCAGGCCCAAAGTTCTAACCATTGTGCCACCTAGCTGCCTCATTTTCCATTCCACATTTCATAGAAAAAATGAGGAGATTTGGATGGAATGAGTTAAAGGGAAAAAAACCTCCCAACCTAAAAAAGAGAGTCAAAACCTATGATTCTGAGTGAAGCTGTTTTAAATTATAAACTTCTAGTCATTGAAATTTCAGCTCTCTAGAGGCTTTACTTTGCCAGACTTTCTGTATAGCCTTTCACTCTTCAGAAGTTTCTATATCAGCAAAGCAAGCATAATGATACTTACCTGTTCTCGTGTTCAGAAAGAGCTGCTCTCTGAATAAATCACATATACATGTGAGTGAGTGTATCCTGGTATGTCAAAGTACATGACCAGCATTTATAGGCTCCAGTAGAAGTTTTATGAATTTAAGATTATTTTGCAAAATTATGGCATTTCAATGGGCTATTCATTTTTTGTTATAGTGTTTACATATAATGGAAGGGTGCCATATTTGATATTGGCATAACTGTGAATCTATTTTTAATGCCTAGAACACTTTTCCATCAGCATGAGTGTATCAGGCAGGAGAGAGGGCAGGCTTTGGACTCAGGAAGACTTGAGTGCAAATCCTGACTCTGTTACTTATTGCCTGCGTGACCTTGGGTAAGTTACCAACCTTCTCTGAGGCTCAGTTTCCTATCTGGACTAGACGGCTTTCTTTCCAGGTCCAGATCCATGATTCTGCCTCTAACACATACTGACTTTGGACTTGACAACGTCTCAGTGCTGTATCAATGAACAGCTAATATAAAATATAAATATTATCAGGAATGTAAGAATTATAAAGGAGCTTTAACTTTCAGTAAGGATGACTATTTATTTTGGCTTAATGAATTTGCCAGAGAGTGGAATAATAGTGGGAAGGAACAGAAAGGCAGGTATTGATCAGCTCTGAAAGTGATCAAACCTTTGAAAAGTGGCCAACCATCAGTAGATTGGGTGGACTTAGGGTACAAGGACAAGGAGAGGAAAAGGAATGGAGTCAGATCAGGATTTAGGAACCATTTGGGTTATACACCTTCTGCTTGCTTTTATAAATGTCCAAGATACTTACACGTGATGCCTATCTTATACAGCTCCCTGAATTTCTGATTGTAGCCTTCTCCAGGAACATAATCTCCCAGGCCAATGGTGCTTAAGGAAATGAAGCAAAAATAAAAGGATTCCAAAAAGTTCCAATCATCTTCCAAGATGGAAAACACCGCTGCCGGTATGAAGAAGAAGCAGGACACAGTCACGAACCCAAGCAGGACGGCATGAATGATGGCAACCACTTGTTTGGAGAATCCCCAGCGGATGTGGAAGTAGAGCACAGGCCTCCGCGTGACGTGAACGGTGATACGCTGGACCACTGCTGTCAGGAACAGGAGGGTGAAGGGGATGCCAATGACAGAATAGATGATGCAGAAGGCCTTACCTCCATCTGATAAAGGTACCGTGTGTCCATAACCTGGGTGAATAAAAATGAAACTAAAATAAGAAGCCTGAGAAAGAACATAAAACATATTGAGGACACAGATGAGCTCATCCGGTAGGAGGGAAAATTCAGTTACTGGGGACCTGAAGCTGCAAAGGCAAAATTTTGAAAGAATTTCATAGGCTTTGTTAAATTCACTACTTCCTATGTAGACCTACAAATCACTTCAGCCTCTCTAGAGATAATTTGGTTTTGAAATCAAAGGCAGTTTGAGATGAAGGTTCTGTTTGTTCCAACAGATATGCTCATTCATTAACATCTAATGCTAACAGGTCTCCCGACTGGGCAAGAAAATCCATCCTGGGACAGACTACCTGGGTTGTCTGTTCTGGTAGACAGACTTGCTCCCAATAAGAAGGGTCACAGCAATCTGTCAGACCAGCACAGGACGTTTTCTCCACCAGGGTTGACTTGCACATCTATATCGCTCCTAAAATAGCTTGTATGTAGTGCCTTAGGCACTTGGTATTCATTGCCTCATCTGAACCTTATAAAATCCTATAAGGTCCATACAAACATTATTTTCATTTTGTACAACAGGAAACTAAGGCACAAAATGATTAAATTATTCTCCAAAAGTTAGAAAGCTGGTAAATGTGGGAGACAAAATTCCTACCTAGTGCTCTCCTAACATCAAGGCCAACATTTTTTCCACTGTACCATGCTGCCTAATTCCAGGTGATATCCACAGTTCCCTGAAGTCAAACCATTCATTCAATATTCCATCTGAACTGAACAGGAAATCAAGGCGGGCAATACTTAGCAAGTCACTGACATACTGTTTGAAAGAGACAGAGCACTTTACATACACTTTCTTCATAAAAATTCTTTGAGGTAGTTAATCTAAGTACAATCCTAATATTTCAAAGGGTCCATGACTTCATTAGTTAGGGTAGTATTCCATCCACTGACTCAAGAGTCAGAGGTTCCCAAAGTGGGTGATAACACTCCCCCAGGGGGCAATGGAATGATAAGGGTGGGGGGGGTAGTAGTAGCCTTGGGTACAATTGAGGGGGCATTGAATAAAAATAAGGGGGTGGTAGAAGCATAAGGAAAGAAGAAAAGATAAGAAAATTTTGAAAAGCCATTCATATATATTTCATCTGTTGTGTAACAGAGTTAAAGTCACAGTGATTACATTAACCTACAAATTTACAGTAAACTATTAAATTTAAGATGTGTCATTAAAAATATTTCATAATGTTTTGAAATGATGCAAATTTTCAAAAGAAAATGCTGAAGGATTGAAAATTTCCAGGAGGGCGCTGAGTAATTTGTTTTTTCAAAAAAAGGCGGTGGTATGCCAAATAAGTTTGGGAACCTCTGCAGATGACTCTTGTAGCCCCTCACCCCCCAAAAAAAATTACCTGATAACTAAACCAACATTCTTTCCAACAATAAGCCCTTCCAAACTTAGCTGGGCTGGTCTCTGGATGTCAAGCCCACCCCCTTCACATCATATTGGTTAGCCTTGACAAGGACGACATTCCCCTGGAAATACTTTCAAGAACTTAGAGTCACATCCATACCATTATGAGATTTGGGAGAAAGGCTTTAGTACAGGAATGCAAGTATCATCTTCTTGATTTCAAAGCCTGCCTCAGGCATAGCTATGTGACCCTGGGCAAAGACCTTAATCTCTGTCTTCCTCATCTGTAAAAAGGAGATAACACCTGCCTCCCAGGATTGTTGTGAGCCTCAAATAGATACTGTACCCTCTACTACTGTACCTTCCTGGGAAATATAATCCTCTTGGTTCTAGAATTCCTACACTGGGGACTGGGCCATCCTAATAAGAGAGCATGTTCCACAGCTTGCTCTATCTAGCCAGCCCCAGGCGCTTCATGTTCTACCCCTTTCAGATAACATATCACTTAATTTGTATACAATTTAGGTTATGTTACTTACACATTATCTCTCCAGATAGAATGCAAGCTGCTCGAGGGCAGGAACTGTTTTTGCCTTTCTTACACTCCTGGCACTTAGCACATTGCTCTAGCATTTGGTAAATACTCAAAAAATGCTTATTGGTTGACTGATCCCAACCATTTATTTTCTTGCCCTTCTACTATAAGGTAGATAGCACAAATATATACATATACATTTTTTTTTCAAATTTGCACTTTGAAAAACTGAGGCTCAAGGAAATTAAATGAAGTGAACAAAGTTGTATAGCTACTAAGTGGTTGTGCTGAAATTTGAACCTAGACCTTCTGATTCCTAGTCCAATGAACTTTCTACTATTGCATACTCCCTCCATTCTCTGGGCTTATTTTGTGATCTCAAATGTCAGGACGTTAGGATTGTTGCTTTTTTACCAAAACTTATTTCATTTACATGTTAATATTCAAATAAATTGAAATCAAATTTCAAGAAATAATCAGCCTATGGTACATACTTCTATTTCTTACAAGACTATAGAATTGTAGATTTTTTTCTTAGCAATAATACATTTAATTAAAATTTTAAAATGAATGAATGAATGAAAGTATTTAAGCTCTTACTATGTACCATCACCAAGGGCAGGTAGGTGGTACAGTGGATAGCGCTGGGCCTGGAGTCAAGAAGACACATCTTCATGAGTTCAAATCTGGCCTCAGACATTTACCAGTGTGACCTTGGACAAGTCCCTTAAGCATTTTCCTCAGTGTCCTCATCTGTAAAATGACTCAGAAAAGAAAATGGCAAACCACTTTAGTAACTGCCAAGAAAATCCCAAATGGGGTCACAAAGAGTCAGACACAACTGAAAAACGACTGAGAAATAACAACGAAACTGTGCTTTCACTATGTATACTAACAGTATTTTCTGCCAACAGATTGAAAAAAAGCAACAACCTGAAGAACTTAGTGAGAGCCTTTTCCTTCTCCTGGGGTCTATATAAACAATTTTAGTTAATGGAAAACAAAATGCAAAATTTACATCTCATTTGAATTTGCTGCAAAATTAAAGTGCAGCATATTGGAAGAATCATCCTATGCAATGAATCTACAGCAATTTCTCCATATTAGACAACTTAATGCATCAGATGGAAACCTTCAGGCTTGCTTGAATTTTAATGAAGTAATGAATAATTTATCAAGTTCAGTCAATTGAACCCCTAGATAAATCATGCTGCAGAGTTCTTTTCTCTCTTTTTTAAAATTTATAATCCTGTTGGAAATGATTACCAAGCATGAAGACTTTTAAATAACACAATAAAATGTTATTTGGTGACCTTTACCTTTTGATCATAATGTTCACATAATTTTTGGCTTAACAAGTTGACCAACTGGTTAAAAAAAAAAGCTGGGAAATGATTTTTTTAAAAATCCTTTTAACCCAGGGGCCATGACTACACTAGATCCTTAGTTGAAAGGGACCTCAAAATTAAATTTTTGTCATAAATCTCTCTTCGGTAGTTTTGTTCAGGTTTAGAGGTTTAGGGGTGCTGGGAACCCAAAATCACAACACATAGGTCCTGCCCAAAAGAATTTGACCCAAGCCTTCTTTCAGCCAAAGACAAGGTTTATTAAAGATCAATCATATAGGCCAGCCTCTTAAGGAATCTGAACATTAGTGAGCTATTGGCTAAATTTTAAGAATGTGAGCACCTTAATGGAGACAAGATGGACCTTACATATAGAAAGACTATGGGAGGGATTCAGGAATTGCCAAGTAGTTTGGGGTGACTGGAGGAGGGGTCTACGGAGATCTGGATGGGAGTGGCCAGTAAGCTGGAGTGAATAGAAAGCCAGGGACCTGAACCAAGAGGCCAAGGGAGAATGGGGTCTAGATAGGATTAAGAATGGGAAATGGCCAGGGGCAATCGGGAGGTGACAGAACAGAATTGGGAGATTGGGCACTGAAGCAATGAAAGACCAGTTGAATGGATTACAGCCCCAGGTAAATGCCAGAGATTTGGGAAAAGTCCAGGGATTTTCTTTTTTGGGGTCCAGATCCCAAAGACATGGCCTTTTCTTTTTAGGGGTTCAGATCCCAACCCCATCAGTTAAATTGAAGTCTATGAATCATTCTCAGAATGTTTTCTTTATGATATTTACAATTGAGGGAAAAGCTAAAATTTTTTAAATTAGTAAAAATAAAGATGTATTTTTTTTAAGCTCATGTAAGTTCACAGACCTCCTCCCCCACCCCTTGAACTTCCTGAAACCTGTGAACACCAGGTTAAGAATTCTTGATATAATCTAACTCTTATGTGAACAAAGGTCCATCCCCTTTGTAGCATTTTGAAAAAATTAGTCATTTATCCTTTGTGTGAAAACCTTTAGTAATGAGGTACCCACAACCACCTCTGGCATTCTACTTTTGGAAAATTCTAAGGATTAGGAAATTTTTCTTGACAAGTCAAAATCTTCCTCTCTACAATCTGGACCCATTACTACTTCTGGTGGGAGTTCCCTGGTCTTCCCCTTCTACCTCAACCCCTTACCTCTAAGATTGCCATGTAATATATGGCTACTTTATGTAGCTTATGTAGTCATAGCTATTTTCATGCTTTCTCCTACATTAGAATGTAAACTCCTTAGGAATGAGGACGATATTTTTGCCTTTCTTCCTGTCCCCCAGCACTTACTGGCACTTCTCATTTTGCCTGAGGCAACAGCCATTCAGTGATTAAGGCTAGGTTAAAAAAAAATGAGGCAAAGAATGGCCTCTTTGACCAGGTCCAGGAAAAAAAAATCAAACTGGGAGGGGAAGACCCTCAGGGTTTCTGGCCAAAAGAGAAATAATTCCTATTTACATTCACTAGGAGTCAACCAGGGCCCAAACAATGACCAGCAGGGATTTGGCCAAGTTGTCAAGTTCTTCTCTGAGAAAGAAGGACAAACAACAACAACAACAACAACAACAACAACAACTTACTGGCACAGAATAATGCCAGTTGACTGCCTGATTCTACCCTACGGGCTCAAGCAAAATAAATCTAATCCTCTTCCATCTAGGCATTTGTAGCCCTGGGAAGAAAAGAC